CAAACCTAAAGCCAATACAAGAGGAAATTTTAAAGATCAGAACACAAAGTAATACAATTGAGACTAAGAAAACAATACAAAGAATGAATGAATTGAATAGTTGGTTCTTTGAAAGAATAAATAACTGATAAAGCCCTAGCCAACTTCAGCAAAAAAAGAAATAAAAAACTCAGATTCATGCAATGAGGAATGAAATAGGTAAAATCACTACAGAGCCTGTAAAAATTCACAAGCTTATCAGTACTTTAACATTTTTACTTGCATATGATAGAAAACACAGAAGAAATGGACAGATTTCTAGAAACATGAATTATCAAAGCAGAATCAAGAAGATATAAAAGTTCTAAATAAACCAGTATTAGCTAATGACATTGAAAACATAATTAAAAACTTGCCAACAAATAAAAGCCCAAGTTTTGATGGATTTACTGCTGAATTCTACAAGAAATTTAGAGAGGATCTAATGCCATTTCTCTTCAAACTCTTTAATGAAATTTGGGGAGCAATACTTCCTAACTCATTCCTGGAGGCAAGTATTACCCTGATACCAAAACCAGAGAAAGACCCAACCAAATAAGAGAACTATAGACCAATCTCGTTAATGAACATAGATACAAAAAGCCTCAATAAGATACCAGCAAACAAAATGCAGCAAATCGTCAAGATGATTATATACCATGACCAAGTGGGATTCATACCAGTAATGCAGGCATAATTCAATATGCACAAATCAATAAACATAATACACCATTATCAACAGATCCAAAGACAAGATCACATGCTCATCTCAATAGATGTAGAAAAAGCTTTTGACTAAGTCCAACACTCATGCATGACAAAAACTACAGAAAATTGAATAAATGGTCTTTACTTCAGTGCAATAAAAGCCATCTATGAAAAACCAACATCCAATCTCAAACTAAATGGACAAACACTGAAAACTTTCACTCTAAAATCAGGAACAAGACAAGGATGTCCACTATCACCACCCCTATTCAATGTAGTTCTGGAAACTTTAGCCAGAGCAATTAGATTAAGAAAGAAATAAAATGAATAAGGATAGGAAAGGAAAAAGTCAAATTATCATTTTTTGTGGATGACACAATACTCTACATAGAAGACTCCCCAACACCACCAAAAGACCTCTAAATTTAATAACCAAATTCAATAATGTAGCTGGATCAAAGTCAACACTCAAAAATCAATAGTATTCTCACACACAAACAACAAACTCACTGAGAGAGAAATTAGGGAAATCATACCTTTCACCATAGCATCCAAAAAAAGACACTATTTAGGAATCAGTCTAACAAAGGAAGTAGAAGACCCATGCATTGAAAATAACATTTCTCTGAAAAAGGAGATCGAAAAGGATATCAGAAAATATAAAGATATGCCTTGCTCATGGATAGGAAGAAACAATATGGTGACAATGGCCATTCTCCCAAAGCTGTTATTCAGATTTAATACAATGATCAAAATACCATTAGAATAGCTCATGGAACTGCAGAAAACACTCCTAAAATTCATTTGAAAACAGAAGAGACCTAAAATAGCAAAGCCAAACCTGGGCAACAAAAGCAAGGCTGGAGGCATCACAATCTCTGGCTTGAAATCAGACTACACTTGGGGCTGGGAGTTTAGCTCAGTGGCACAAGTGCTTGCCTGGCAAGTAAAAGGTCATGAGTTCAATCCCCAGTACCAAAGAAAGAGAGAGAGAGAGAGAGAGAGAGAGAGAGAGAGAGAGAGAGAGAGGAGAGACAGCTACTATGACAAATTCAACATGGTACAGGCAAACAAACAAACAAAATGAAACAAAACACAAAACCTGAGGATCAGTGGAACAGATTAGAAGATGCAAACATAACCACAAACACATGCAGCCACCTTATCTTTTATAAGGTGGAAGAAAGCCTCTTTAATAACTGGTGCTGGAAAAACTGTCTTTATACATGCAAAAGACTAGAATTAGACCTATGACTATCACCATGCACTAAATAAAAGTAAAAATGGTCAAAGATCTAATTATTAAAACAAAAACACTAAATCTATTAGAAAAAGTAAGTAGAAATCTTGAGCATGTAGGAGTAGACAGCCAGTCCATGAACAAATCCTAAACTGCCTGCATGGGAAGTACTTCAACGAATCAACAACTAGGATCTCACCTTATTAAAAAGTTTTTGTGCATCAAAAGAAATCACCAATGGAGTGAAAAGAAAACTTACAGAGCAGGAAAACATTTTAACCAACTGTTGTTCCAAAAAGGACTTCTATATAGAACATATAAAGAACTGAAAAATATCAGGCCCCCCAAATTCAAATACCCAAACCAAAAATGGGCATTTGAGATGAACATCCACTTTTCAGATGAAGAAATAAAAATGGCAAATAAATACATGAAAAAAATGTTCAACATCATTGATCATTCAAGAAATGCAAATTAAAACAACATTGAGATTCTATCTCACCGCAGGAAAAAATAGTTATCAAGAAATCAAACAATAACAAAGGCTGAAGGGTCTATGGGGAAAAAGCAACCCTTTCCATTGTTGATGGGAGTATATTTTGATAACCACCATGGAAATCAGTGTGGAGATTCCCCAAAAAACTAGGATTAAAGATTCTATTTGGCCCAGCTATTCCCCTTTTGTGTATTTTCCCAGAAGAACTAAAAATGTCTTATCACAGCAATATATGTGAATCCATGTTTATAGCAGCAAAATTTATAAAACCTAAATCTTGGAAACAACCAAATGTCCATCAGATGAGGAATAGTTTAAGAAGATGTGGTATTTTTATACAGTGGAGTACTATTCAGCCATAAAGAAGGATAAACTTGAGTAGAGGTAAATGGATACAGCTTGAGACTGTACTCACAAGTGAAATAAATCAGACTTGCATGCACTATATTTTTTCCCTAGTGTAAAAAACTGAAAGAGTAAATATGATCCAAAATATACAATATATTCTGTAAAAGGGGAAGAAACTGCTCAGAAAGAAAGAACAATTGGGATGGGGGAAAGGAGAAAAGAAAAAAATTACATGTATATAAATATGATAGCTAAGATAATGATACTACCAATTTCTATCAGTTCATTAAAAAATGAAAAAGAGTGGTTTGTGCTTATACTGTTTGACTTACTTTTCGTGCCTATATCTTGAAATCTGAACAACTACTTTGAAGATAGCAATATACAATATATTAATCATTGTTAATGTATTACTTCATTTTGAAATTCTGTATCATTGTCTTTACTTTCATTTTCTTCTCTTTAAAATAAAAAAATTAAATTGAGAAAGAAAAAGCAAATAATTGAAATGGGTATGCAGTTGGCATACAACTCTTTTGTTGGGGGTATTTTGAGGGTGCTGGGGATTAGATCTCTCGCAAGCTGGGCAAGTGCCCTGCCCATACAGACAACTCTATGATATTGAGGTTATCAGAAAGAGAATTCATCCTGATCAGTTAATATTTTTGATAAATTTTTGACAGCCTTGAAATTTTAACGAGGAAACTGGATTCTTTCAATAAAGAACCTAATAGAAATTTTAGAAGCAAACAATAGAGTATTTTAGAATTAGAGTATTTTAGATTAATAACTCAACAAATGAATTTAACAGAGGATGAGACATTACAGAAGAATTAATGAATCAGAAGATAAGAAAAGTGAAAGAAGATTCAGATTGAAGAAAAAACAAATAAAGAATAAGTAGAAATATATTTGAAAAACAGTTTTTAAAAAAGAACTAATATTTGTGAATGCGCTTACAGAAATAGACTAGTGAGAAAATAGACCAGGCACAATGTTTGAAAGGATGATGACTGACAACTTTCTATATCCAAATGAAACACACATTCAAGAAGCTCTCAGAATGCAACAAAGATTTAATACACAGATAATCTTAACAGGCATAATGTGTGCAAACCACTGAAGGTTTTTTTTTTAAGCAAAAAAATAAAAATAATACAGAATTTCAAAAAATAGGAAATTGACACTAATTAGTATATTGTTTATTGTAATGTGGGGGGGGGAAGATGTGATACTTTTATATGATGCAGTACCACTGAAAGTTTTTTAAAAAAATAGTTGAGCAACTGGAAGAAAAAGACTAAATTACTTTCAAAATAACAAGTATAAATCAAGTATTTCTCCACATAAGTAATGGCAGTCAAAATATAATAGTGAAGTATCTACACACTGCTAAAACCTAGAATTCTACATTGGTGGAAAATATTTTTCAAAGATCAGAGAAAATGAAGATGTATTCATAGAAATGAAAAAAATAAACAATTACCAGAAAAAAACAGTAATAAATATTTATAATAATATTTCAGAAGAAAAAACATTATTTTAAATGAAATTACAGGATTTCTGGAAGAGTTCTGGAAAGGGAAAACATGTAATTAAATATGTTGATTGAATAAAACAATAAAATAACAACCTTAATATCTTATGGAGGTTGAACTAGCAATCATAACATGAAAAGATGTAAGAAATAAATGGAATTAAAATATTTTATGGTCCTTGCATTGTGTAGGAACTGCTAAAAATTCTAATTTATTATAGGCAATAAATCTAGTCTATAATAATATCTAAACTGATCACTAAACAATATGCTGATAAAAGAAATTAAATATTACTTGAATATCTCAAAAAGTATAAGAAATGAGAAAGACTGATGGCTTAATAAAAAGAGCAAAAGTAAAATCCTTTAATCTTCCACATTGGGGCCTTTTTTGAAAAAGATTAAAGAATCAAACAAAATCAGTTTCCAAACCTTCCGTTTTCCGGGCCGCAGGCATCCTCCCTCACTCAGGGTGGAGGTGGCCCGGGACCATCTGTTACCTCCTGGGAAACATTTCCTGGGGCTCTCACTGCTGAGTGCTGTACTTCTTTTGTTGTACAAGAACAAAAAGAAAGAAAGGTGGGGAGGGGGGACTCCCTGGCCACCCACACACACTTTGTTTCCTAGTCCTCTAGTTTGCTTGGGAGAATCTGCCGAAGAGAAGCTTCCCTGAGCCGGCCACAGCCATTTCTCATTAAACCCCCAATTTAAGCGAGATCCGGAGTGGAAAATTGCAAAACAGGAAGCCTGCAAATTGCATGAAAGCAATATTATTAGACCTGGGAGTAAAGATCCTTTATAATGCAGACTTTGGGGATGAGACCTAGAATCTCTAGGTGGAATCTAGGGCTTTGTGCGTAGACTCCTAGGAACTGGCTTTTCTTCCTGAAGTCACTATGGAGTGTCCTGCAGATACTTGTGCAGTAACCCAAACTTTGAAGAGATGTATGCGGACTAAAGGTAGGGTGACCGGAAGGCCTGGTTTGCCAGCCCACAATCTCATATTATACCTATCGTCCTAGGATCATCTTTAACTGTACTCTGTCCTTCTCTCAGAACTGTCCTGTTTTGTATAAAATTCATGGTTATCCTAACTAACAACCAGTGTGCTTCATGAAGCAACAGAAACTCACATTCTCTTCTGTGGGGGATTGCAGACTTGCTTGAACGCCAAAGATGAATCTTGCCAATTTATTTGTGTGCCACTAAGTTCACCCACTAATTGACTCGGATGGCTGGAATCTTGGCCCAGACTGCTTGAAGCCAGACTTCCAAGGCTGGTGTTTCAAAAACAAGGTACCCAATCCCAGAGAAGCAGTTATAACTTACACAGTGAGCCAGGAGAAATCAGTGTGGCCTCGTATTTAGTTACTTCCTCCTGTTTTCTTTTAAGCTCTGTACTGTTCAGAGCAATGCAGTGTCCACTAGCCTACGGTGACTACTGAGTACATCGGCTCCTTTAAACTGAGAAGGGCGCTAATTGTAAAGTGAACTCGACTTTGAAGACTTAATACAAAAAAGGGTCAAGTATCTCATGAGTAATTTTCATATTGACAGCATACTAAAACAGTGATGTTTTAGGTATATTAAGTTAAATGCTTTATTAAAATTAATTTCACCTCTGAGATTTTTACACTTTTTACTTTTTAAATGTATCTATTAGAATTTATAATTATAATTGTATTATTTTGCTATTATTACTAATTTAGTGCATTTGATATTCATCCAGGGAGCTGGAACTAAGCAAAAGGTTTAGCTTTATTTCAGATTGTTCTTCAGCTATCTTTGTTTCCTTTTCACAGGTCTACTAACATGAATTTAAGTGAGATAAATATTAATTATTTACACATCATTTGGAACTCAATAAATGTTAGTGTAATTTTCTTCCCCTAGACTGATTTCATTCCTCTTAAACAAAATTTTTTTCCATTAAAGCATATCCCCACTCTATAGTGAGTAAGACAAAACTGCATATAATGAATTTATCTTGTTTATCATTTATTTATATTCCTTTGCCTCAGTAGATATTGCTACCACATTTTAAGGTGATTTATTTGTTCTTACATGTACATTGTTAGACTATGAAATATGTACATGACATATTAGAAACAATACTGAGATGATCAAATAAGTAAGTTGTGAACGTGAAATATAAATAGCTCCTTATTCAGATGAAATGAATTTAAGAGTGCAAACTTTAAATTGATTTTTAGGAAGATGATAAGTTTCAGAAGAAATAAAAATACCTTTACATGTATACCAGATAAATGAAGAATCTATGCCCATTACATCAGATTAAACCTCAACCAATTAAGAGTTGAAAGTTTTAATGTATTTGTTATACAAAGTCAACTTATGGAAAAGGACCAAGTTTGTTTAAGATGATTCTAGTTGATATTTAGATAATGAAAAACGGTGAAGGTGGGGATTGATTGCAAGGCTTTTCCAGTGGTTCAGAAAAGAGATGATGGCAGCTTGGTATATATATACTTTTATATGTAGAGAAAATAATATCACGTAATTATAGCACCCACACTCAGCCATAGATAACATAAAATTATATTTTTTCTACAACACTAATTTTTCTATACATAGATATTTGGGCCTGGTTACACTTATATATATAACTTCAAGTAGTGATTTTAAACTTAATGTTATAGAATTTTTTCATGTTGTAGAATATTTTCTAAATATATTAAACATCTGCACAGTACTGTGTTAGTACCTACCACTGACTACTGAAGTACTTTTTATCGTTGGTCTCTTTAGGTTGTATAAAATATTTTGCTACTTCAAATTTCACTAAGTTTTTATTACTACATTTTCACCATGAAATGCCAAAGTATAATGACTAGCATAGAAGTTACGAACATTTTAAATCTTCAAGTTTATTGCCAGATAGCTTCGAATTCAAGGCTATTTTTCAAGAGGAGCATTTTATTAATTTCAGATTCAGGCACTACTTTTATCTGTTTCCAGATAAAATGCTCATTCAATCAGTGTCTATTGAATGCCAGTTCTGTACCAGCAACTCTCCAGATGTCAGTACAAAAGAAATAAATTATCTTTTTTCCCTCAGGTAGAGATCTACATTAATAATTCCAAAGGAGTAAAACATACTCGAAAATGTCTTATTTCCATAAATGTTTTAACTATTTTCTTGAATTCGTAGTTAGATTTTAAATTACTTTCATGTAAGTAATCACTAGATAAATTTCAGCCTTTGCATAGAATTAATAATATTATAAATTACTAGTCAAAATTAATACATTTTTCTTTTGCTGTAAAAAAAAAGGGGGAGCCTAAGTTTGTACTTTAGTCTAAGACATGACTAGTGTCATTCAATGGGCTATCTAGGTGGAAAGTTAACTTTCTATGAGAAGTTGAACTAATCTGTGGGGGAGATCCTCTTCATTCTTATCCATAATTCCAAAGAGCCAGGATTTAGCCTTCTCTCAATCATTCATTGAACAATATCTTTGGAATGCCTACTACATGGTAGGTAACATTCTAGACACGAAGACTGTTGAACAAAATAGACAAAAGAAAAATCTAATAAAGACATAATGTCTTCTTTTTTTCTTCTTGCTATAATTGAATAACACCAACAGGGTAATTTATGAGGGCTAAAAGTTTATGCAGCTCACGGCTCTGAAGGGTAGGAATTCCAAGAGTGTGACTCTGGCATCCTGGGAAGAGCTTTTTGCTATACCATAAGATGGAGGAAGGTTATCACTTGGAGAAACATAGCAAACATGCCAGACAACAATGCCACTCTTGCAAGAACCCATACATGTGCTAGCCCATTCATAAAGACAGAACCCTCATGATTCAGTCACCTCCCAAAGTCTCATCTTTACACAGCTGCCCTGGAGACCACATTTGCATGAGTATTGAAGGGCGCATGCTATATCAAACCATAATAAATAATATATGTAGGCTATTTATAAACATGGAGAGAAATAAGAGATCAGGTAGGCAGTCTGGGAAAACTGGCAGGGAAAAAAAAAGATGTAGCGATGTTAATTAGAATGAGAACAGACTTCTTTGAGAAGGCAACTTTGGAGCAGGGACCTGAGGGAGGTGAAGGAAGCAGCCATTTAGATTAACATCTGAAGGCACAGGAGGAGTTCAGTGAAGAAAAGGCCAGTGTCATACATGTAAGTATCACACCAGCTGTGCCACGAGTTGCAAGGAACTTTCTGTGTGCAAGTAGAGAGGGCAAGATGGTGAAGGGACAGAAGTTGAACTCAGAAGCAAACACGCAGACTAGATCACACAGGGTCGTGGACAAACAGTAAACAAGCCAGAGTTAACAAAACTTTGAAAACAAAACAGAGCTTTGATAACAAAGCCGCTTTCGGGGAGGAGGTTAAGTGGATTGCAGAGAGCACATTGTTGGTTCAAAGCCCAAGTCTGGACAGCAAGCAGTGTGAAGGCCAAGCAGGGACACAGAGCTAAACTGAAGCTCAGGAAAAAAAGAGCCAGAGTTTTTGGCGTGTTGATCTCCTGATGCATTCACAGACAGTCAGATGAGGTGACAGGTTAGGGCGGTGCCTCAACTACACCCCAGCATGGGTACCCTTCCTTATATGACCCGAGTGAGAGGTGTACTGTTTGTTGGTATGGTAGATTCAATAAGCCTCTGAGCCTCATTTTTTCTTTTCTGATATAATTTAGAAACATCATAACATCCATGTATCCGTGATTTAGTCTGATAAGTTTACAGGCAACAGTTTTTATTAGCAAGATTAATTTATCAGTGTATGCCTTAGAACTGTACTGTGTAGCTGAGAGTTGTATTTTTTTGTTTCAATTAGTTTGGTGTGCCCAACATCTGGCAGTTATTTACTTATATGGACAATTTAGAAGCCATTCTGCTTCAGCATTTGCACTCAAAATGGAGCAAACTGTTGTTTCTTGGAGTCACTCAGGGCAAAGCACAGCCTGAAAGCTATAATTCTGTACAACACGGGGTGACTCACAGCAGGGTACAGCCTGTTCTGCATCTCCTCTGCAAAGCCATCAGAAATTATATAAAGGAGAAAAGTTCTCATATTCTTGTGCAGTGCAGGCTATAAAACTGGTGAGTTCTGAGTGGATTTGAGAAATGATCATCTTTGTGGGGTTCAATATGATGGGCAGGAAAATAGGGAAAGCAAAGATATAAAGATTGAATGAGATTTTTAAAAAAGTATTTCAGAAAGAAACAATAGAGATCTTGGAAGAGAAAGAGGACAAATCTACATGGAGAAACCTATATATCCAGGCCTCATTGTATGGTGTAAAGACAGTAGTAAAACCTTCCTCTTTTAGATGAATGATTACAGGACAGTTGGTAATTATAATTGAAAGAGTTTTGCCCTAGGCAGGGGTTATATGTATATCTTGTACTCCATGTTCTGGTCAGAAGCCAGGCCGCTTATGGTTGTGAACTCCTTTCCACATCCTTGGAATAAAGGCTATTTTTTACTTTTATATTTTTGCTCTTTTATTGCATCAAAAATGCTAACAGTAATGCGAGGGGCTCTTGAGTGGTAGAAACTGAGTTACTGCCCCTAATCATCCTGCACACACAGGGCAGCCCTCCACATCAAAGAGCTCTCTAGTCAAGATGCCCAAAGTTCTGTGGTTGAGAAATCCTGCAGTACACCCACTCATTGAACCCTCCAGTAAAGAATCGTTGTTATTCTCAGCATCTTGTGTGTTTCCTATCATTTTCAGCGGAAACCAGATGAATGATTTGGAAAAGAACAGCCTGGGGTTAATACACACAGTTCCTCATACAACCTACTGAGAGACAGGTTTGATTTTCTGATTGCTTCATCTGTGCCCCATCCTTCCATTCAAGACGGGGGTGTAGGATGCTAAGCAGGTGGCTGTACATTGATCACGGAGGTACAAGAGAAGCAATGTGAAAGAAATACAGATTATACTTTTGTCACATTAGGAAGATCTCGATATAGGTTAATTTTGAAAGCTAGCTCATAAAATCTACTTAATCTATTATGTGGCCAACATATTATTATAATTAATTAGATTTTAGATTAATAACTAAGGTATAGGTTTTAAAATAAATTTAACAACAACTCAGGACTTAAGCTTGACAAGGGTGCTATGGAGAATTATAGTCCAAGTCAAATAATCCCACATAGTTGTGGGAACCACTGGGTGATGGCAACCTCAGTCCCTTCTCAGAGATCTTGAAGCTGGTGGTTCAAGGTTTAGTTCAATCATCTCCAAAGTAGGGTGTAGGAATTCTATGGGGACAGGGAGTACAACAGACTCCTCTTTATTGATCCTAAATAATAAATGAGGAACTCAATTCACCGTTGATATATGGATTAACACATATTCTCATTTGGCCCAAGTGTCAGAGATTTGTGAAACCTACAGTCTTCAGAGGTGTGATTTTTAGGTAGCAATTTTATTTCAATATGTGAATGAATACACAAACAATGGATAATAAAATAACTGCATCACACAATATAGAATATTATTCAACCATAAAAATATCGGTCATGAATATGAAAGTCTCTTAAGTATGCACTGCTAAGAGGAAAAAATCTTAAAATGTACTGTATGATTCTAACTTTATGACCATCTAGAAAAAGCAAAACTACAGCAAAACAAAAGATCAGTGATTTGTAAGGAGTTGGGGGGAGGTGATGAAACATAGAACCCAATGTACTTCTAGGTCAGTAGAACTATGCTGGATAATATGTAGTGGTGAGTGCATGATGGGCTTCCGTTAATGTTAATGTACTGATACTGGTTCATCATCTGTAACAAACATACCGCACTAATGTGAGATCTTCACACAGGGAACACTGTGTGTATGGAGAGGGTGGGGGCAGATAGAGTGGGAAGTTTGCTTTCTGTTCAACCTTTGTCTGTAAACCTAAAAGTGCTCCAAAAATTAAAATCTATTAACTTATTTTTTATTTTATTTTTTTTGTCTTTTTCCTTTTTATCAGTACTGGGGATCGAACTCACGACTGCCTGCTTGCAAGGCAGGCGCTTATGCCACTGAGCTAAATCCCGAACCCCTATTAACTTATTTTTAAGTGATCACATATTTGGCTTTGCTTCTCTGGCTGCTGGAATGCTGAGACCATGTTAAGGATTTTTTTTGTACTAGGAATAGAACCCAAGACCTTGCCAGGCAGCTGCTTGTGCTGCTGAGCTAGAGCCCTGGCCCTGAGACCATCTTATGAGCCCCAGGCGGCCTGCTACATGGGCCAAGTGGAGAAGGCACAAGACATCCAGACTGCTGTTTGTACTTGAGCCTGCCCTGGACCATCCAGCCACAGCTGAGTTGCCAGGTCGCTGCAGTCTCAGGAACAAGCCCGAGTGAGACCAGCCCACCCCAAGGTGCTGACTCTCAGAATTGTGAAAAAATACATAGCAGTTATTTTAATTCAGTACATTTTGGGCTGTTTGTTATATAGCAAAACTCACTCAAACAGCACTATATTCAATAATAATGCTCATGATAAGAGAAAATGTACTATTTTCCAGTAAGAAAACATGTATTTATTATTAAAGTATAATTTATTTAGTTACATTTTATCATTTAAACCATATTGTATTTGAACATGTATATGCAAATTACATAAGTGCATATTATAGTGATAAATTAATAATTGTGGTATGAATGAAAAATACAATGGGTGTTTATGGTGTTTGAAATTTATGATAAAAAGTGCATTGCCATTATTTCCCCTCAGAATACAGCCCTCACACGGAACACACTAGATTCGTTATTCCCGCCACTCTCCCAAGCAGTGCTGAAGTCCCCTTTTATGAATGTCTTCAGTTGCACTGCTCTGGCTATTTCCATGCCTGAGTCAATGCAAAACACTTACCTTTTGTAGTCCTTTTGACTCTGGGGAAGTGCCAGCAGTCATACGGTGCCAGGTCTGGTTAGTAGCTGGATAAGGACCCACTACAATGTTTTTATGAGCCTGCCGTTTCATTGACTGGTACTGGGCAGCTATGTTTACTTTATTCTTGATCATACCTTGTAGAGACAGGAAAGAGGACTTCCACAACTGCTTCAGAAAGCTGTAAGAGTGATGGGATAAATGTGTTCAAAGTAAGGGGAGGTGTTTTGAGGGGGTTCATGGCACTGTCTTTTACTGTAATAAATTTTTTAAAATTTAAGCGTTCACTGCATATTTTGACTACCCCTTGTACAATATTTTTATGGTAAGAGGGAACAATGAAAACATGTGGAGGGTCGCCTCATGCAGGGGATGAAGACTCTGGAAACTCAGGGAGTTCTTGCCATGCTGCAGCTCACGGGAGTGTCCCTCCCTCCTAGTGACGTTCTGATGGTCCAGCTATCGCATAGCCCTGAAACAATAAGGCAGGTATGTACAACTCAAGGTGTTTCCTGGTTATTTTATGCTGAACAGAACTTTAGCTATTAATGAAATCTACATCCACTTAAATTTACATTTAAAAAACAAACCTCCTGAGCTGTCAGTGTCTTTATATTTCTAAATATGCTACTGATTGTAATTTGGTGTGAGAATTTGGTGTGTAGAAGTCCTCAAACTTAATCTCCAAAGCACCAAGATGTTTTGATGCCCAGTGATAACAATTTTGATATCCAATTAATATTACTATTCTTGTAAAGAGTTCATGTTTATTTGAGTGTTACTTCTCTTTCAGAAAGACATTAAATCCAGAAAACTTAATCTCAGCGTAAACAAAGTTGATATTAATTCTGCTAAACAGACTATGAGCATCTTTCTTCTAACAGAAGTTGTAAATCCATCTAGTGTTTACAAACAAAAATGCTTATTTTGCTAGAAAGCAAGACTATTGGAATATCGCTGCTTTGGTCCCAGTGTTTCATTTAGATGGGCGGGCATTTATTCTTATACTTGGTTTGCAGATTGAAACACGTACTCCAGTGATAAAGGATTTATTCAAACCTCACAATGAGTGGATAGCAGATATACAACTGGGACCTGTGTCGATGAGCTGCTTAGGCTTTCCTCATGTATAATACCTCCACCCCCATGTTGTAGCAACAAAGAATGTCAGTATATTACTTTATTTAATTGGTTTTAAGATAATAAATTTTTATATAGGATGTAGATTATTGCTTTAGAATGCAGGCATACCAAAATCAACAATACATAGCGTTTGTCTCTTCTAAATAATGGCCATTTTGATAACCTTGATTCAAGATGTGACAGATATTCTAGTGAAAGTTATGCTAGGTTAATTATGCTTCATGTTGCAAGCATTGTTACAGCCATTTATTGCAGTTAGGAAGTATTGTCATCAAATTGACTTAGATAGATTTTAATGAGCAAGGGTGAATTGGAAAAGTTTGAAAAAGTTTCTATTTTAAAACAAACCAACTATTTTCTGGGTTTCAAAACATAAGACCAATATCTACTGCTCCATACTGTTTCCTGAAAGTACTTGATTTGAGTAATGAAACTTAAACTGAGTAGTGAAACTTATGCCCAGAATACAACTTACACAACTTTAAAGTTTGGAAAGTACAGAATTGTCAGTTACTTGAAGAGACTTAATTGTAGCGGTTATATGTCAACCTACCCTCAGACACTATAATCTTCATCAAGTAATTTCATATCTTTGAATAGACTCACATCTTTGGAATCTGAAAAAGACCAAGAGAACACATTTATGTTAGAAGGACTATGATCTTGATTTCATGAAAGGGTACTGAGTCATATAGCTTCATTGCACACTGAGTACACAACTCCACGTATTCATCAGCAAATACTTGTTCAGCATAACACAGCCCACATTATTCTGGGAACTATGCAAAGAGTACTCTCCAGAGAGAGGGGAGGGCAAATTTCATCTAAGCAGTGGTTTTCACTGATTAAGAAGTCTTATTTAAATGGCATCAAAGAAGTCAGCAAGAGACTCAAATCCTATGTAAAATTAGTTGTAAAGACTTTTACGACATATTTATTTTTTTAACATAATGTCTCTTTTCTTTGAAATAGTTGAGCATACCTTCACACGCAATAATATCAAATATAACAATATAGTAAAAAAAATTCAAAAGAATGAAAGCATTACAGGACTTCAAAACCAAATAACAGGAAATGAACAACGGCTGCTATAATACCTCATTTTCCTCAAAAAATTTGTGTATATCACACATAATAAACTCAAATAAAACACAACAGGATAGACCCAATCAAAACAGAAGAACAAAAGCATTACTATCATCAGAACAAGATGATAGTAAATCAGCAATAGCTACCATAATGTCTTGTTTTCTTCAAAATAGCGTTCATACCATCTCACATAATAAAATCAAACAATAAAATAAAATAAAATCAATGAATGAAAGCATTATAAGACTTCAAAACAATATAATAGGAAACCATGATTACCATAATATTTCCCATTGTATTCAAAACAGCTGCCCTTACTAAATGAAAGCATAAAATATAACAAAAGACAGAACAAAGCCAAACATAATAAAATTGTGTAAACAATGCAAGAGTTCAAGATAAGACAATCAGAAACTGACAGTAGTTTACCTTTCCCTCCCTTTGCCCTTTTTAAAAAAAATTTTATTTAAAGGAAGACTAAACAAAATAGAAAATGGGTAGAAATAATAATACTTTCAAAGAAAGAATAAACAGTAAGAAATCACTAGTTGATATTTGCATATTGTCCTCTTACAAATAGTTATTCAAGATACAAAAGTGGAGCATATAAAGTAGAGTTTCAAACAGCGAGACTGCAATCAGGTCTGTTCAACAAAAACTTAGTAATATGGTTATCAATCCTACACACTTATACATGCAGTTATCTGTATCTTCATTTATGTTGAGCTTGAACAAACTCAAGCAGGCTAAAATCACTCTGAGCAAAGAATAATAGTATTGCTGGGTTTCACATTATAATACTCCTGGATCAGCACTGGGTACTGTAGTGTGTCTTTTTCTTCAGAGTATTTGTTCATTTCATCATGTGTCATAAGATCAGTTCTCATAAACTGTTTATTGGTTCTATGCATGCATGAGTCTTAACATGTATTTCTATCCTTTCTATATTAGAGGGAGGAACAAAACAAAGCAAGACAAATAAAACATATTCCTATAAACACATGAAATGAAAAGATATATAAGACCACTGTACAAGGTGTTCTACCATGGTTACTGTGTTGTCTCTTGTTATCTTTAATAGAATTGGCCATATCATCAGACATAGTATAATTGAATATATCAGCACATAATAGTATTAATAAAAACACAATTTTGTATGTACTATAAAACTTCAAAGACAGGTAGTAATCAAGCCAGAATGGGTATTGTAGTCTTGTTATCTTCAGTGTAATTGTCTAAACACTCTGACTTGATACTATCAATCATATAAGTTTTGAATAAAATCTGTCAATACCAAAACAGCAATCAAACAAAGCAGATTTAACTAAGATCAGTCATGATAAAACAGTATAAGTCTCAATAGGGTTCCAAATTAAGTTAATAGGAAATTAAAGTTGATTACTGTGCTGTCTCCTGGTGTTTTTGGGATAGCTGTTTGTGCCCTCAAATCTAATGCAAGTAGGCAAACTGGGACAGAATAAAATCTATCTAAGCAGAGTGATGCGAGTTATATGGGTTTTAATTCTTGATACACTATTAAAAATATCTTCTGCCGTCTTTTTAAAGACCATTCCTCCTCTTTCACTTCCCCAGAATACACTGTGTATTTTTGGTCTCACCTAGACCCTTGGTTTTAAATTGGGGGCGGGGGGCAACCTGCTATTTACCTAAGTGGTTCCGAACCTTCTCTCTCCTGGATTTGATCTCTAATTATATTCCTTTACCTATTAAAGCCTGTCTTTCCAACCTACCCAAAAATACTGGTCTAGTTGCCCCTAACAACATATTTATTTTAAAACATATCCTTTCTTGTGTTACTAGAGCTTTAATCTCGGCATCCTGCCACTCCAGTATCTTGTCATAAATAACACTGTATTTTAAAACCTGCGAAAGTACTTTCTAAGGTCATGTCACATGCTATAGACTGAATACTTGTGTCCCCTTAAAGTGTGTTTGTTGACACCTGATCCTCAAGGCGACGGTGTCAGGAGGTACCTTAGCGTGATGACTTTGGGGGTGGGATGATGAGGCCGTGGAATTTGTACCCTTATCAAGGCAGCTCTTCTTTCCTTCTGCTCTATATGAGAACACAATGGAGGATGAGGAACCAACCTCAGAGGAACCAAGAAGTGTGTGCCCACCAGTCATCAATTTGTCAATGCCTTGATCTGGAACTTTCCAGCATCTAGAACTGTGAGAAAGAAATTTTTTGCTATCTGTAAATCTATCTGTGGCACAGTTTTAAGGCAGCTGAAACTAACTAAGAATGCAAGCTTTATGCCCCTCCTGCACCTCTGCTCATGACATCCTTTTCGACTGGAATCCTACAGCCCCTGCCTCTCTAGCCGTGCCTCAGGCATGTCTACTAATCCTTCATCTCATCCTCCGGAGCATCAGTGAAGACTATTTTTAGAACATGTTCACTCTTCATACCACAAAAAGAATCTACCACTCTGTTGTATTTATTTTTCAGAACCATCAAAACAACATACCACAGACTGTGCTTATCTCATGCCCTGAGGCTGGAAATCAAGTAAAGATCTGCACAGGATTGGTTCCTTCTGAGAGCTGCAATGGACGGTTTCCAATCAAGCCTCTCTTGTTTGTAGAGCTTTCTTCCTTCATTTCTTCCAACTTCCTCCCCTCTACATCTGTCTGTGCCAAAATTTCCCTTCTGATAATGCCAGTCAGGTTGAGACCCCAGGTTGAGAATTAATTTTTAACTAAATGTCCCCAGAAAAAAACTTTATCTCCAGATAAAGCTACAACCCAGGTTCTGAGGGATAAGAATTCAACACAGGAGTTTGGGCCAACAATGCAACCATTTCTTTTCCTCTGTTTTGTAATAATTTCTAGCAGTAGTGTATTTCTTCTTATCTGACATCTCATTAAGTCATAGAGCAGAGTGGGACCTATGTATAGTTTTGTTTTGCTTTGTTTTTTTTTTTGTCCCCCTTACCTGATATAACTACAAACCCAAAAAACTGTTTCCTAGTCAGTTTGTTGGTTTGTGGATGGAATGATTTATCAGCAAAGACTTTTGTCCTAGTTACTTTATCACTGAAGCACAATACTTGACACCCACAGATTAAAGAAGGAAAGGTTTATTTAGCTCACAGTTTGTAGAGGCTTCAGTCCATAGTCAGCTTGCTTCAAAGCAGGGTTGCATGGCACAATAGCATAACAGAGGAGAAAGATTTCACAGCACGGCAGGTAAGAAGCAGCTGGATTGACAGAAAATTGGAATGGCCTTTTGAAGATACAGTTACAGCACCAGCTAGGTGGTATTACCTTTTAGGGCTGGGGAAGGTTCTTCAAAAGGCTGTATACACTTTGAATTAGTGTCTGCTATACGGTACTGTGTCTCCCATAGCCAGGACTCTGAGATCCAGGAATCACAGGAGGAGGAGGAGGAGGGGTAAATACCCTTGTAGGCTGTGACTCATCTTCCAACATCACACCCGGCTATAAACTCACCAGTGGCCTAATCAAGTGATAAATACCACACTCATGACTCAATCACCTCCCAAAGCCCCACCTATGAGCACAGACACTTTGGGGGGACATCTAGATATAAACCATAACAACCTCATATGAAAATAAAATTTATTCATTTAATACATAGGAATTCTATATTTAATTCCTGATAAGGATGTTTCTTACACTAGCCCATGGTTCCTTTGGGGGCACAGTCATACTTTATCCTTGATTGTGACAGAAATAATTAATTAGTAACATCTGTCAACACTACTGTTTCTTTATACAAACAGAAACCAAGTTTGGGTGAGGGCGGTAACATATTTCAGACTCTCACACAGGTAAATGAGGCCATGAGATGGACTTCTGACTGCTAACATAAGGGGGAGTGCAGACTGGGCTTCCAGGAAAAGAGGAACAGGCCTGATTGCATGGTTTCCTGTCCTTTGTCTTCCTTTAACTGCCAAGGATGCTGAAGCGATGCTCAGAGGTGACGCAGCCATTCTGAGACAAGCAAAAAGTAAAGGTTGCTAAGCAGAAGGATAAAAATATATCTGCATCAACCTCATTCTTGAAGAGTGCTTTCTTAGTATGAGATTCTAAATGAACATTTGTGTTCTCTCAGCATAAATAAATTATAACTGTCCTTGTTGATGAAAGGTTAGCTCCACTCTGATTGTCTTTTCTTTATAGATGACTGTGTTTTCTTGCTGGTTTAGAAAAACCCTCTATTTGTTCTGTGTGTGTGTGTGTGTGTGTGTGTGTGTGTGTGTGTGTGTATTTTGCATCACTGTGATGCATTTAGATTTGGATTTTCTTGTTGTTTATCATACTTCTGCCTCACTGGCTTCCTTTGACATGAAGAGAGGAGTCAGATTTCTCAGTTATTATCTCTCCAAATATTGCCTCTTCTCAATTATCTTGATTATTTTCCCGGACACTTTCATTACTGCTTATCAAATATTCCCACCTTATCCTGATGTCTTTAACCTCCTTTTCATATTTTCTGTCCCTGAACCCCTCCAGACTGTATTCTATATAGCTTCTTTAGTTACGGCTTTCAATGGATTAATCATCTCTAAGTTGTGTCTGTCTTGTTTACTGTTAGAAGTGTCTATTCATTGCAGTTTATATATTTTAAAGTTCTTTAGTGATTATTTTACAAACATATTTGGTACTTCTTTTCTAATTACCTATTCTTGTTCAACATTGTCAAGCTTTCCCTTTATTTTTAAATATGCAGTAGGGTTCATTTCCAGGGGGTGTCTCCTCTAATATCATGCTAGAACTTGTTTCCCAGGTAGGTCTTATTTTTGGACAAACAGACTAGTACAGAGCCTGACACAGCATAAGAACTTAATAAATTTTCACTTGTATTAATTTTTATTTAAAAATATATTATTAATTATTAATTAAAATTATTGATGTATTAATTTTTTATTTAAAATTATTGTTACATAGAAGAGTATAACATGATGTGGCAGTGATTCATGATACGCTACAAATCAGTAATAGACCTCAGGTTAGTATCAGGGACTGGCCAAGAACCCTGATTGCCCGTGTCAAAAGTATGGTGAGAAGATAAAATAAGAAACAGAGACAAACTTAGTAATACATGGTGAGTGACTGGGAAGTCGATGTCTCCAGATGAGCCAAGATAGCAACCCTCCAAGACAGCTACTGTATTGGGTGGATACAGCGATAGGCAGGGCTGGCTAGAGATTTAAAGATGGCAGAAGGCTCAGAAGCCTATAACTCACTGGGCAAGAATAGTCTTGGGCTGACTCCGGAGGCAGAGATGATCCTGTGCTAAGAAAGATCTTGCCCTAAAGAGTTTTTTTTAAACTTAGTGGTTTTAGTTTTAGTCATAGAGGGTGGGAGAGGATGGCTCCGCCCTAAAGAGTTAATGGGAAATCTCAAATCTCAAATGGGTGGTACTGATAATCCCAAACCTCCATTTATACCTTACGGAAAAACGCAAAATTAGCCATTGTGAATTTGTGGTCCCCAGTGTACTTTTCTTTTTGATTAAAACTATTGCTGGTGCTCTCAAACTGTAATTCATAAATTATTTGTCTCACTGATTGCCTTCATATGTTTATTTAGATTATTACAAAAAAAGAGAACATGTAATCAAATGAGTGTTTAAAATACTAGGCTATAAAAACAGTACTTTAATTTTTTAATAGTCGTGTTGTCAAGATGGTACAATTCTTTCGTGCATTGTGAGCCTAAAACAAGAGGCATTGTATGAAATGCCCCCCAAGCTTATTAAGCTTCAGAAGCCTTTCTCTCAAGCATCTCTGGAGCTTTTCTTTCAAGAAACACTTCTAAGGACTACTTCCTTACTGTAGTATATAGAACAGACACTGCAATATCCACTTATTGACTCTGAACAAATGGCAATTTGTTTTAAAACTCAGCTATCATTTTGCTTAATAGATAGGACATTTTCTTTTGTCCTTTATTCATCTAGAATGATTCCCAGTATAAACACTCAGTTGTTTTTAAGCGAAGGAAAGAAATCTTCCTTGACTATGCCTCAGAGCACAGAGTACTTTTTTTGGATTAGAAATGATCAATGGATGGAAAATCTGATGCATCTCGGGCTGCTTCCTGGTATTGAATAACCAAAAGTCAAACAACATAGGGCAGCCATGGAAAATAAGAGGAGACAAGAACAAGAGCCCTCATGTCCTTGTTCCTGCTGTGACCACAAAATCAAGAACCCTGCTGACCAGGGAAAAAATGCATTGCCATAACCCAACTGTAATTGGATAAAAAAAGTGTTTGTTGCACATGCATTGTCTGCACAATCGGAAATTAATGAAGTCAGAAGACATCAAAACAAACATGCAATTCATTAGCTGTAAGCTAATCAATAACCAGTATATGGATCATGTTATACATCCTTTTTTTCACCTTTTGCATCTGCCAACTGCATCATGTTTACAGAGAGCTGCTGTCATGGAAATCTTCATCCTTTTAAAAATACATCATTCAAACTCGGAAGTTTCTGTGACAGCATTAACTAAAGGACAGACATAGAAAAGAAGGGGACAGAGCAAGACCCCTGATGTCCTTGTGCCTGCGGACTGTGCTTGTATTCAGGTATGTTCATTCTCAGGGCACAAATAATGAACAGCAGACTAGCAAGAAAGGGAAATTACAAGGTAGAGATACAGAATAGGGCCTTGTGATTTATACAGGCAGAAAGAGCTTCCATTTGTAGCAGCGAAGGTTGACTTACTTTTAGACTTATCAAGGTTTGACAGTAGTTTTGAACTTGGCAATGCTGAGAAAGTAAAACATATATAGTAAGTCCCAAACTTATGAATGAGTTCCATGCTGGGAGAAAGTTCATTAAGTTGGATTTGTTATAAGTCTCATACACCTTTGACACAAATACACAGTGTAAAGCATAAAAAACTCTCACCCCCTCCACATCACCCCTGCTTTTATTCTGGCTTCCAGACATCCTGGACTCTGACTGAACATTGCACCACTGTACCCTGCAGCTCTGAACAGTAACACACAGCAGCACACTGACAGTGTCTGGCAGAGGCTTGAGCTGTTTCCATGATATTTTTGCACCTGTGTAAGGTTTGTAAGGTGAAGTCTGTTTGTAGCCATGAAAGCTCTGAACTCAAATGTTCTTAAGTTAGAGACTTACTGCACAGTAGAAGCTATGCTTTACATTTTTAATTTTAATCTTTTCCTGGAATAGCAATACACCATATCGTGCTTTCTTGACAAGCTTGATAGCAAAAGCTTTGGCTCCTGGTCAGTCACGTGATCATGAGGGTAAACAATAGGAAGTGGACGTGTTGATACATTACACTGTTCAAAGATTCCACGGATTAAACACATTATATTTAGGACACTTTCAATTTACATTCAGAAGTAACTCCATTATAAGTCAAGGAACTTTTGTATTTAGGATACTTTCAGTTTACGATTAGAAATAGCTCCATTATACATCAAGGAATCTTTGTATTGGCAAGTGGGTTTGATTTAGATTATTCTAGATTACAGGGAAGCAGATGGTTTTTACTTGTAAAAGAAGTCTACAAAAAATGTCTATGAGATAATGATTTTTATAAAAGGAAGAGACCGCTTTGACAACATCAAAAGAAGTTTCTCATTCTAGTCCAGAGAAGATGGATTGAAGTAAATAGAAGCCACTCGTACAGACTGAAATTTTATCATGAATTTTCTTCTCATCCAGAAAGCAAAATGTTGCTATACGGGTTCTTTAAGGCTTCAGGCATGAAAGTACTAATCAAGTGCAGGATTTTCTGACCCTGGCTTCTGAGTGGTGTAGGATAATGAGGGCACTGTGAGAAGGAGGTATCTTCTTACTGGCTGTGCCCAGGAAATTCTTGTTTCTCATAAGGCTGAAGTCCACCATTCAGTTAATAAGTAACAGTACCTGGACTTTCACTTTCACTGTTCTATATTTGTTAAACTGTTCATCTGTGTTCTTTTGCTGTCCATGAAAATGACAATGAAACATAGCTGTCCATTAACCAAAGAAAATGTAATGTGGGAATGATGAATGAAGTTTTCTGTAGCACTGTAGTTTTTAGAAGTCATTAATAATAAATTAGCACCAATACCAAGGACAGCCCATCAGTAGACAAAATTCTCCATTATAAAATAATAATATATAAGTCATATGTCACAACCTTCAGCAATTTACTTAGAGGTATTTTACAGTAAGAATGGCGTTGCCAATATTTTACTGAGATCACTGCTTTAGTTACAGCTTAAAATCAAAGCCTTTGGCATATTTGTTAGTGTCAGAGGAATGGGAAGAAATCACTGGTTAGTGAGTTGGGGTTGGAGTTGAGATGAGCTTTATTAACCACAAACTCTGGACCCATCCATCACTGGACCCATCTGTCCATCAAAGTCAAGAACAAGAAACAACATGATGAATTATTAACAGGTAGACTCGAGCCAAATTTCTCAATGCATTGAGGCTACATTGCAAAACAATCAAATGTTCACTTAAAGCAGAGGAAACCATCACAAAGCTTGTGAACAAGTCTAAGATCCTTATTTATCAGCTCAGTGGCTCAGTGCTCAGTTATCA